GCACCGCAAAAAATAATATTAATTTCTCTCAAGTATATAGTACATCAAAACCCCCCTTCATAGTTAAAAAAAAGAAACATATCTTCATGCACATACATGATATGCATGTCTCTGTTGTGACTTATGCTCCTTTTTTGTTTTTTTTTGGTTTTTCGAGACAGGGTTTCTCTGTGGCTTTAGAGGCTGTCCTGGAACTAGATCTTGTAGACCAGGAGGGTCTCGAACTCACAGAGATTCACCTGCCTCTGCCTCCCGAGTACTGGGATTAAAGGTGTGCGCCACCAACGCCCGGCTGACTTATGCTCCTTTTTTTTGCTCCCTTTCATATTGTGGGTCTTAGTTCCTGTTTTCAGGTTAGGGATGTATGAATGTCAGAGGGATAGGATAACACTTGCCTAGCATGCACAAGGTCCTGGAGGGACTCCAGTCTCAATCCACAGGAAAAAAAGAAGCTGTTTCCTTCTTCCTGGTCCTGGAATGACCACTGATATGCACATCCTGAACACCACACACTAGGCCTACACTTGCATCTCCAGGAGAGGCTGGTTCTCTCCATGTTTAAAATCTCCTGTTGGGGCTGGAGAGACAGCTCAGTGGCTAAAACACTTGGTTTTCTTGTAGAGGACCCAGGTTCAGTTGCAGTTCCCACATGGTTGCTCACAACCATCCCTAATTCCAGCTCCAGGGGAAACACTCATTATCTCCTTGAGTACCAGGCTGCACATGGTACACATGCATACATGGAGGTAAACACTTGTACACATAAAATAAGTCTAAAAAGGCAATTTCTTGCTGGGCACTGGTGGCACATGCCTTTAATCCCAGGGAGGCAGAGGCAGGTGGATCTCTGTGAGTTTGAGGTATACAGAGCTAGTTCCAAGACAGTCAAGGCTACACAAAGAAACCCTGTCTCTAACAAAACAAAAAAAAATTTTCCTCCTTTATCATTCATGGTGATGCACACTTATAATCCCAGCACTTCCAAAGGCAGGAGACTCACAGATTCAAAGTTAGCTGGAGCTTTATAGCAATACTCTACCCCAAGCAACAAAATAAAAATTCCTTTGTTCAGGTGAGAGCAACTAAGGTAATGCCTGACTGGACCTCTTCCCTATCCTAAGTAGAGGGATTTCATTTAGCTACTGCAGAGTGAGTTCAACCTGTCTGTTATATTACCCACCACCTCCCCCTACTCCCCCCAAAATCCTTCATGACAAAAGACTTTAAATGAGAGAGAGTTAGATCCCTAGTCAGAGAAAAGACTTGATGGCTCTTGCCTAAGAATGTTTCCCTTAGCTAGGTATGGTGTTAAGTGCCTATAAATCACAGCACTAAGAGATGGAGGCAGGAAGAGTTATGAGTTCTAGGTTAGCCTGTCTACATAGTGAAGCCCTGCCTCAAAAACAAAACAATCCTTCAGCTTCCGGTTGCCTCCTGCTCAGCCTTCCTTTAATTTTACACTCCCTAAAACTGGAACAGAAGATACAAGGGAGAACAAGAAGCAGAGGAGTAGAGGAGGGTACTCACCATCACTGCTAGCTGCCTATAGGCCTTCTTTAGCTCCATATCTGATGCTGTGGCTTCAACCCCCAGCACATGAAAAGGGTTCAGTTCATCCTCAGGGACCCCGGCCATGGTCAAAAGTCGGGCCACTTCTTCTTCTGGCTGGCAGTGGCGCCCACTAGCTGCAGGTGCATTACCTTGCTTATTAGTCCTCGGCTTGACCCAAGGAAACTCCAGCCAGTTCCGCTGAACTAATCTTACCAGCTGCTGCCATGGCCTGCTATCTCGAAGCAGAGTCAAGCAACGGTGCACAGCTGGAGAAGCCAGCCAAGAGAACAGCCTGGTGGTCCTATCCCTCCAGCCTAACCTGTCACCCAGTCCCACCAAAAACCGCCAGCCCAGCTGCAGACAACCCAAAAGGAGGGCAAGAGCCAGGAGCAGGAAAGCACCCACTAGCCTAAGAAGACGGGTGAATAGCCCTGCTGCACAGGAAAAGCTCTGGCTTAGGCACTGGACCATCACCTGGGCCCAGCCCCCCAATCTCCCTGCCCAGGATCCCACCCAAACTCGAAAGAGGTTCAGGTCACTGCCTTTCAGCTGCCTGCATGCATAAATGAGATGGCCACACGTTTCTACATACTCTCCCACCAATACCAGAAGTTCAATCAGCCACCAGAAGCCTGCCTGTCCAAGCTGACATAGCTCCTCCACGCCCCACAGTCCCAGGCCTCTGCGCTTATCTGTCTGATTTCGTTTTCGGCCCAGCCGATGACGACCTGGGGACCTGGGATCTCTGCGTCCACTATCCCGAGTATCCTCCTTGGTCAAAAAACGGTGCCTCTGCCTCCGGGATGGGGGTTTCTTTCCACTGGACACACGTGAAAAATCACTGGGAAATTTAAGAGGTTCCTCGTCATCATATTCTTCTTCTAACTCTTCATCTTCCCCCAAGGCTGGGGAGGTGCAGTGGTGGCAAAAGTTGCTAGAAGAGCCATCTCCTTCCTCAGAGTAAGTCCCTTCGGGAATTCCAGGGCTTCCCTGGCAGTTACAAGCAGACGGAATGGAAAGAAAAGAAGGGCTCCCGTCCTCCTGGTACCCAGTCTCGTTCTCTCTTGAGAGTTCCTGGTCCGCTCCTGACCCTTCTGAGGATGTCTCACTCTCATCAAGGTAGCCTCCTTCCCTAGGTGGTCCTGGACCCCTTGGAGGTCCATGGCTTGGATCCGACCAGTGAGCTGGGTTTGGGGGCTGTGTGTACTTAGAACCAGAGGGCTCTGTGAGGCAGCGTGTACCATTAGGAGCAGTCTCTGTTGAGTCCCTGAGTCCTGAGAATGAAAGTATTTCAGGGTCCACAGAGGGTCCTGATGTCCTGAGGGAGGCACCACCAGTGTGATGGGCTCCACACAACCCTCCTTCTCCGGGGTGCTTCTGGGCCATGACCCCGGGGCTTCCTAAGGAGTTTAGGTCACAGCCATTATGGTAAATTCTGTTGCCTGCAACAAAGGTATCAAGTTGGAAAGAACCAAGGGAGAAAGTTAAACAATGTACCCAACTCCACCCTCGCCGCCTAAGCGCAAATTCTTTGGAGACATTCGCTAATCCTAACAATAAACCAGAATCAGACTGACCACAACCCTGCTTGCACCAACCCCGACCTCAGAAACCCCTCACCCCCGAAATCTTTAATTTCTCTTTTTTTCCTCAGGAAAGCTAAACTCTTCAGTCTGGGAAATGGGGGGAACGGGAGGTTTACCGCAAAGGGTGTGGTGGGGACGGGGGGAGGGGAGGAGATTACTCTTAGAAAAAAAAAAAAAAAAGACTGCCTGAAAGAGAGGCCGTAATCTGTCAGAAATGGGTGGGGACAGTGCAGCTTAAGGGGAAAGGCTGAGGGCGGAGCCTAAGAGGTGTCCCAGCAGAAGACCACCCGAGAACCCACCGACCGGGTCCAAGGGGCAAAGGCGACGTACCGAAGAGCGGCGGTAACTCCTCCCCCTCGAGCAGCTGCGCCTGAGGCCAGGGGGAGCTACGAGAGCAGCTCCCCCGGCTCCGCCTCCCGCTCACGCTCCGCTTCCGCCTTCCGTCCCCGCCGCGGCCGCCTACTTCCACTTCCGGGGTCACCGGGGAAAAGCCGGGAAGGAAGGAGAAAAGCGGTTGGCGGGGCCGCGAGCCGGCGGGGGCTGCGAGCGTAGAGTCAAGCGAGGGGGCGGCGCCAGAGCGCCCTGGCCCCGCCCCTTAAAGAGCCCCGGGCCGCCGGCGTGTGAGCCGCACAGGTCGCGCTGCCGCGGGTGAGCGGGTGAGCTGTCCGCCGAGGCCTGCGGGCTGTGTTCCTCGTCACTGCTGAAGTCGGAAGATGAAAGACAGCCGCCAGTCTACACATAGTCTGTGGCTCGCAGGCAGCCAGCCAGAGCACGCAGAGGAGCCGGCGCCCTCTGCGCGCCCAGACCCTTCCCTATCGGCTGCCCTGCCAGAGAGGAAGACAAGTGTGTGTCGCGGACTAGCTCGCCCCCTGACTACACGCGACAGACACTGCTCTCCCGGACCCAGCTGGCGAGCTCCCACGCCGCTGATCCGCCCCCTGTGAACGCGGCGCCTGGGCCGGGCTAGGGACTACGGCCAAGGGACTACGGCCAGGGGATCCGGAGCGTGGCTCCGCGGGGCTCCGAACCCAGCCCAGAGTAACAGAACCCCGCGCTCATCTGCATGCCGCTTTGCATCTCATTTACATAATGAGCTTTGGGTCCACACCCGCACGCGCCCGGAACCCTTCGCAGACCCAAGCTTGTGGATCCTCTCCTCTACACACGCTCCTGAAGCCTTACAGTTCTGTCATTGTCCCTGCCAGGCCCGTCTTGCTCCGCAAGTTTTTTTTACCCATGAACACTGGTTAAAAAAAAAAAAAAAAACCCCGTCCCCGCCCCCTGTCTCCTGACCACCCGGTTCTCCAGAAGACAATACTCCAATTCTCTGGGAAGTGGGAGAAACCAAGCTGGACCTGGGGGTGCGTTGGGACCCCATTGGGGCTTCGACGACGTCAAGTTGTCGATTAATCTCCTCAGCATTCAGACGCCTTCCATCTTAGTATTGATGGGCATCCCAAATCTCTCACTGCTATGGTGGGGGGGGTGGGTCTAGTCCTAGATTAGAGAAGTAGGTAGCCTGGGATCCCCCACACACAGGGGTAAAGATTGAGGGGGCCCGCCCCGTGATGTCATCCCCCACCCCATACACACACCCTGTCTCCTTCCTCCGCACACATCCCTACCCCCCAAGCTAGTTGCATTTAGCTCACAGGGTTTGGGTTCGGACTTTAAGAAGTTTAGGGAGCAACGAGCACAGTGGGCCTGGGGTGGGGGAAGGGTGCCTGCGGGCAACGGCCACCCCTACGCCTAGGACCTCTGGGCTGGGATGAAGCTGGAGGTCTAAGCAATTGCACCCCTTTGCTCTCTCTCCTCAGCCCCGGAGGGTGGTGAGTAGTTAAGACCCTCCCTAACCTCTCCTCGTTTAGGGTCCCAGACTCTTAAGCGTTTGAGAAGAGCCCCAGGAGTTCTCCAAACCAGCCCCTTAGCCTAAATCCTCAATCTCCAAAAGGCAGAAAAAGGAAGATGCATCGGCATCGCCCTACTCCCTCAGTTTCCCAGTGCCAGCCTCTCCTCAGTAATCCTTCAGGATCAGAATTCAAATCCCATTGGCAACCCCCGCATGCCAGAATGAGAGGGTGGGTGGAACAATTAAAATTCCCCGGCGCTGCATCTGAGGCGAGTAGCAAGTGGATACCAGGATTGTGAGATGTCTGTGGGCAAGGAGCCTGCTTACTCCATGTAGGGCCATGGGATTTGGACTGGCTGTGTTCTCCCTGCAGCTCCATCTCGGCATAAAGCCAAGACTTCAAAAATCTTGACAGGGTGACTGGGTGACTCTTAATTCTTTATCTGAAACCTCTTTTAAATGTCTGTTCCCTTTCTTCCTTGGGGGTTGCGTTTAGCTCACAGGAGGATTTGGGCTCCAACTTGCAGTTTAGGGAGCAACAAGTACAGTGGTGGGGGGAGTGCCTGCAGCCAGTGGCCACCCTGTGTCTAGGACCTCTGGGCTGGGATGAAGCTGGAGGTCTAAGCCATTCCACCTCTTTGCTCTTCTCAGCCCTGGAGGGTGGTGAGCAGTAGCCCTGAGACCCTAAGATGACTCATCCTCTCCTCTTCCTTCCTCTCCCCCTTTTATTAATCCTGCCCTGTCTGATTCAGCAGGGGGGTTGGTATGGAGTCCCAGCTGCAGATGAGACAGGAGTTGCTTTTTAGTTGGAACAGATACAGAATCCTCAAGGTTTGTGGTCTCTGCTCTCTGTTCTCTTCCAGGCTTACCAACCCCTGCCAGATAGTTATGGATGGATGAGAGAAGCTGACTCCAGCCCTCCACTCTGTGACCATCTTCCCTTCTACCATGGAGAAAACTGTGTTGCCCCTGACTACATCTGACCCAAGACCCTTTCATCAACAACTCCCAGAGCCTCCAGACCTAGGATGTGTCTTGAGACCGCAGGACAGCCTTGAATTGGCCCCTGCCCTTGTGTGTGCCCTTTGCTGCTGCTTTGGAATCGTCTACTGCTGCTTTGGTGAGGGCGGGGCCTGGGGGGGCAGCAACTTAAGACTGTTATCCTCAAGAATGCTGTCACCTTTCTTCCTTGTTCCCAGGCCACTTCACCTCCTCTGTCAGGAGATGCCTACCCTCGGAGTTTTCCATACTGCTTCTGCCAGCTTCTTGTCATTCCTGCTTGCCCATGCCCTCTGGCTTCTGCCTCTGGCTCTATTATTTGCCTTTCCTCTGTCTCCTACCTCAAAATTTCACTCCTAGGTATCCTCCTCACCAGAGACTTCAACTTTCCTCAGAACTGGGTCAGTGTGGTGATTTCCTAGCTACCATTCCTGGAGGAGCTAAACATGGTCCTGTTTTCCCTCCACAATGCCTCCACCTTATCTCCTGATTTCCCACCTATCCCCTTCAGAGTTTGATCTGTCACTGGGGCTTTTCCTTTTTTTTTTTTTTTTTCTCCCGAGACAGGGTTTCTCTATGTAGGTTTGGAGCCTCTCCTGGTACTCGCTCTGAAGACCAGGCTGGTCTCGAACTCACAGAGATCCACCTGCCTCTGCCTCCCAAGTGCTGGGATTAAAGGCGTGCGCCACCAACGCCTGGCCTGGGCTTATCCTTTTCTTCCCCTCGCCTTGAGGTTCCCACAGTAGGCTGCTCCTGGCTTCTACTCCTTTGGTTAGCTGTTCCTTTCCCAATACACCAGAGCCATCCCTGTAGGACCCCCTTTCTGCCTCTCAATGCCTCCTGCCTCCCTTCCCAGGCTACCGCTGCTTCAAGGCAGTGATGTTTCTCTCGGGTCTGCTGTCCGGAGCTCTGGTGATCTTCCTACTGTGCCACAAGGAACGGGTGCTGGAGACACAATTGAGCCTGGAGGTGAGCGCAGGCATCGCGCTGGGCATCGGACTCCTCTGCGGCCTGGTCACCATGCTGGTTCGCAGTGTTGGACTCTTTCTGACTGGCCTCCTGCTAGGTCTGACCCTGGGTGCTGGAATCTTATTAGGCACTGAACCCATCTACCAGCCACATTCAGCCTGGGTGCCGATTGGTGGACTGATGGGGCTGGCACTGCTGGGAGCCCTGCTCACACTCCGGTGGCCACGTCCATTCACAGTTCTAGGCACAGCCCTGCTTGGTGCTGCAGTGCTGGTGGCCTGTGCTGACTACTACTTGGAAGGGCTGGCCCTGGGCACTCGGCTGGGTGAGCGCCTGCAGGCGCTTCCAGAGTTGCTTCCTCTTTGCTGGTATAGCTGGGTCTTACTGGGGACCTGGCCAATCTTGGGGGCTCTTGGAACACTGGCCCAGTGGAAACTCATGGCTGAGGAACCTGGAAGCCACACCAATGGTGAGTTAGTGCTGTGATACAAAAGCAGCCAGCCTGCCCCTACTGCTATCCCTGATTCCTACACTTGAGGGGAAGGAAAAAGGTTGAGAGAGATGAGGATTGTGGAGGATTTTCAAGTCAAACAGGGCAGGCACTGAAGGAAGTCTGGGTAGAATAAGAAAAATTGCCAGGAGGTACAGAGACGAGTTATTAAGTGCTGTTATGAGAGGGTAGAGAGGAAAGATAGGAGGGAAATGTAGAAGAAATCTACTGAAGGGAAGTTGAGGCTTGAGAGGTCCACAACAGGAAGGCCAAGTGGATTTCTATGGATTTTGATTCTGTTTGGAGTTGTATTCAGTACCTAAAAAAGCCCCCTTGAATCTGTGTTGCCTCCTCCCCAACAGTGGTCTTGAGCCACCAGCGAAGGCATCTCCAGCTCCTCCGGATCCATCAGCAAGAGGCTAAGTGGCATCGGAACCCTTCTGGAGTGGGACTGTGTGAAAGCAGCTATCGGAATCAGCTTCCCCCCAATATCCAGAACCCCGGTGACAGTCTGGCCCCAGTGAGTGGGAGGGTAGGGCACCCCGGGGGAGGCTGGGTCAGAGGGCATACAGTGATGGCCGGGATGAGCTGAGGGCTCTGACACAGAACCCCCCCCCCCTTCTACTCTGGCTGCCCTGTGTCCATCCAGTTATCTCCAGAGTCTCCGTGAGTGCCAGCTGGAACCAAGCACCCAGGTCACAGGCCCCCACACTGTCCTGGACCTGGATCCTGACTGCAGTTCCACTCTCGTCCTCACCACCTTCGCACTCTGCCCAGACCTGAGCCTTAACCGCTAGGGATACCAATAACCATAGGGAGGGCAGGAGGCTGCTAACTGAGAGATCACTAGGTGGATAGGGACCTGAGCCCACCAGACCCACACAAATTTCCCTACCTCTTGGACTTGGGGATAGGCTTTGTGCCCAGACCAATCCTTTTAGAGACAGGCAGAGAGAATTCCTATAAAGATGGGGGAGAGTGGAAATAGAAGCACCTACCTTAGTAGAGGTGCCCTGCTCCCTAGAGACGCTGACTCCAAACCAAGGAGGTTTGCCCAAAACAGCTTTTTTTTTTTTTTTTTTTTTTTAATTCTTGTAATGCTGAGATGGAACCCCGAGTGTTGCTCATAGTAGGCAAGAATTCTACCACTGAATTACAACCCATTCCCAAATATCCATTTAAATATCTCCGTGTGCCTTACCATGGTAAATATGGGGCTTTATTGTAGGGCCTATAGAAAATTGGGGAACACCCTAACGCATTTGGTAGTAGGGAGAATGGTACAGAAGAACTCCAAGACCCCCAGCTCCCGGGCTCCTTAGTATGGGTAATTGGGCTTCTGGCCGGCCTTTCTCCATGGGCCCCATAAACTCGAGTCCCCTCTACCTCAGTGGGGAACACAGTCCTCCATGGTGCTTTCTCCTCCCTCTTCAATGAGGGAAGACCACAGAATCTGCCTCAGCTCCCCTCTCTCCAAAAGCTGGCTCTGTGCTCCAAGAAGAAATCATTGGCTCACATGACTGATTCTTGCCTTTTTGTCCAGAGGAGCCTGGACTTGAGGGCTGTGTGGTAGTCAAGTGCCTTCTGTGTCTCAATGTAGGTAATACCAGTTTCCTCCTGAACCAGAATTTGGGTCCAGCCACTAACCCATTCTAAATCTCCCTCCTCTAACTCCTGAGCCAGGTCTGATTCCTGGTTTCCCAGGCAATATGAAGGAAGACATATCCCTCCCCTGAGCAGCAAATGTGTAATAAGAGGGAGAAAGAACACGGGAACATGGCAATAAAATGGCACTGAAAATTCAAATGGGGAGTTGAATCTCTACTGTTGCTTTTTACTTTCTTTACACCACAAAACAAAGGTAATCTGTCACCTAAAGATTGATATAGACAGCACAGTTCTCTCTCAGAAATATGAAGTTAGCCTTTATTAAATACAGATGTGTTGGACTCCATCAGCTACTTCACATATAGTATTTCATCTAACATAACAACCCTATACATTGATATTAACCTTATTTTGTTAATAGAAAATCCAAGGTTTTACAAGGCAAATTAACTTGCTGAAAGCTACAGTCAAATGTCTCAAAAACTCCAAAGCCCTTGCTCAATTTACTAGCTGTGCTGTTTCTTGCCCTTTATGTTGGAAAGAACAGAATCCAGGTATCCAGTAACCTAGCTGTTGCCTCCTGTCAGCTAAAAACTAACTGACAGCCAGACATGGTAGTACATGCCTTAAATCTTTTCTTAAAAAATAGAACACAGCCGGGCGTTGGTGGCGCATGCCTTTAATCCCAGCACCCGGGAGGCAGAGGCAGGTGGATCTCTGTGAGTTCAAGACTAGCCTGGTCTACAAGAGCTAGTTCCAGAACAGCCTCCAAAGCCACAGGGAAACCCTGTCTCGGAAAAAAAAAAAAAAAAAAAATAGAACACAGGGGCTGGAGAGATGGCTCAGCAATTAAGACCACTGACTGCTCTTCCAGAGGACCCACATGGTAGCTCACAATTGTCTGTAACTCCAGTTCCAGAGGATCTGACACCCTCAAACAGGCATACAGGCAGGCAAAACATCAATGCGCGCACACACACACACAAAAAAAAATTTAAAAAAAGAACACTAGCCAGGCTTGGTAGCACATGCCTTTAATCCCAACACTCAGGAGCTCCAGAGGCAGAGGCAGGTGGATATCTGTGAATTTGAGACCAGCCTGGTCTACCCAGAGTGTTTGAGAACAGTCTTAGCCAGTACTATGTAGAAAGAGACCCTGCCCAAAAAAAAAAAAAAAAAAAAAAAAAAAAAAAAAAAAAAAATCAAAAACCTGATTGATAATTTTCCTCCACCAGAGAATAGATGACACACTTGAAAGAGCTATGTGACAAAGAGAAATGGGAATTGGAAACTGACTCAGAAACAAGGAGGCACCTTGTAGGAAAGTGGTGTCCAGAATTAGAATATTAGTGGTGTGAGGTCTACGGCTAGTGCGGATGCTGTATCATCTGCACAGTCCTAATGAGCAGACATCAATTAGTTCTTAGGCTCCCAGCGGGGTGACACCAGCAGGGGGGTCTGAAAAGTTAGCAGAGTCCATAGCTGAGGGAGTAATGTCCAAGACTGAGGGAGTGGTATCCAAGAGTGTGACTGTGCTTGAGGGAGTAATGTCGCCAGGTAAGGAGTTAGTGTCTGGAGTCTGAGGATGACAGTGCATCCAGTGTGTGACATTTCTGGGATAGCCCTTTGCCACTCGAAGCTGATGGTTAAGACGCCAATACTCATTGCCCTTGAAGAAGTAGACTTGGCCATCTTGCCAGCTCATCGCTGCCGAGGGTCGGTCTGGCACGCCAGTAAACAATTTCTTGATCGGTTTGGGGTAGCGGCTGAAGTCCGTTCTGGCCAGCTCATCCCATTGCCAGTACCCTGAGCCCTAATTTGGGGTGGGTGGGAGGAAGAGAATGAGAGAGCTTAAGGACCCCAGAGGTTGATCCAAACTGCAGAAGGCAACTCTTTAAGGGTGAGACTTTGCCCTTCAGTATGAGTTAGCCTGCCCATCCTCAGAAGAGATTATCCCCAACTTTGCTGTACCTTAAAAAGGAACACCTTTTGATTAACAGGCCAATAGAGCGCTGCATCCAGGTTGGGTTCTACCCTGTTGAGTTTCATGGGAAAGCCAGGAGACATCTTGAAACCCACATATCGCCAAACCTTGTTTCCTGAGAATGGCCAAAGGAAGAGCAAGTTGTTGTCATCAGATTTGGGCTTTTGGTTCCTCTCTCACCCTCTCAGAAGCTTCTCAATGCCTCCTCCCATTCACAGCTTTTTGATGACCAGGCCCTTAGGCAAGACCTAAAAGTACCGCACTTACCCTTGAAGAAATGAATCCATCCTGTTCTAGGAGAGTAGACAGCAGCATCTAAGTTTCCAGGGAGTCCCTCCCAAAGAGCAGACACTCGGAACAAGGGACCTGGCCCTGAATCTGTAACTGTCCACACGTAGTCCCCCTTGAAAGCATAGGTCTTCCCACGAGGCCCTGAGAGCAGAAGCCAGTTAACATGTTTGAGAGACAGTGAATGATTCCTGAGTATCTCAGGTGGTTTCCTTTCTGTCTACTGATATGCTCTTCAAAAAGCCACTCAACTTCCAAAGGGCAGAGAAGGAAGACACAGGGCTGAGCATCTCCTTTGTTGTTCACAGCCCTCCAATCAGTCAGCTGTTCCTCTTTGGAGACCCTAGTGCCCAGGTCCAGGTTTAAAATCTTACACACAGGCACCAAGTCCCTTCTAATAGGCATTGCAGTCAATTCCAGCTTGCTATCTTGCTATGTTTCAATCTGTGTGTGTGTGTGTGTGTGTGTGTGTGTGTGTGTGTGTGTGTGTGTGTGTGTGTGTGTGTATGTGTGTGGTTTTTTTGAGACAGGGTTATAACAGTCCTGGCTGTCCTGGAACTTACTCTGTAGACTACCAGGCTGGCCTTGAACTCACAGAGATCCACCTGCCTCTGCTTCCCAAGTGCTGGGATTAAGGTCTGCACCATCATGCCTAGCTACCCAGCCCTCTTTTAATTTGACTCCAAGTGCTCCTTCTCCATGCTACACATCTTCCCTGGTCACTAGCTGTATCCTGAGCTCTAACCCCACAATGCTCCTGCTTCAGTCCCATGTCATCCCCATCTGTCCAGGCCTTGGAGTCAGTAGACTGTCTCCAATGCCTGTCAACGGCCTGTTCGGGAAGGGCCTCACCCAGCATCACGGCATCCAGTTCACTGCTGCAGGGGTTTGGCATGGGACTGGGTTTTGTGGTCACTGGTGACACAGTGGTAATCCCAATCTCTTCCTCCTCATCTTCTGCCCCTGGGTTCTTCTTACCTGCAAAGTATAGTAAGACAACCTAGGTAGGTAAAGAAGTCCAAACACTCAGCTCTCCGTCTCCTGTAAGTTTTGTTCAACGGCCCCATAGAGAGGGAAAAGGGAATTCTAAGGAGTTTCTCTTTGAGGTCAGCAATATGCAGGAGTCACAGCTTGGTTTTGAGAAGCACCAGAGAGAAGGAAGTTTCCTAGAATGCATTATTCATTTTCAAGAATGGGGTTTCCTGGCATGGTGGTGCACGCCTTTAAATCCAGCACAAGGGAGGCAGAGGCAAGTGGATCTTCATGAGTTTGTGTCCAGCTTGGACTACAGAGCAAATTCCAGGACAGCAAGGGACACATAACAAAGACCCTGTCTCAAAACAGCAAACAACAAGAACAAAAGAATTAGGGTGTGAGGGGAGAAAGGCCGGGAAGGAAGATTAGACATAAAAGAGTCAAAAATAGAGACAGTTTTTGAGGATGAATAGCTTGAGGAACTGGGCAGAGGAAGAGAAAAACAAAACAAAACAAAAAAGCCATTTCATTCCATGAAAGCTAGCATTGTCTCCTTGAGCTTGGAGAGGCATTAGTCAGATTGACTCTTATGCTCACCATAGAGAGCCTGGATCCCTGCCACATCATCTGGGTGCAGCTTGAAGTAGGGCTGGTAGCCAGCATAGACAGGGGCCATGAGTGCCTGAGTATATCGGGAGTGGCCAAGTCCCAAGGCATGGCCCACTTCATGGGCTGCAATGATTCGCAGGTTCACTCCTTTGTAGGTCCCCTCAGTCCAGAATTCATCACTATCGAAGTGTACACTGCCAAGCTCTGGGATGTCAGCATGGGCCAGGACCTTCCCTGGACAGAGGCAAAGGTAGACAGTTATGTTAGTGCCCACACCGACAGAGCATCATTTGCCTGCTATACACTCAAGCTGCTTTCAAGTGTGGTAACACAGCCATGATCACAGCACTTGGAAGGTAAATCCAGGAGGATCAGAACTTCAGGATCGAGTCCTCCTTCCCTTTCTGCCGACCCGTCAGCAACTAGAGCCCTCATCCAATGGCTGATGGAAGCAGAGACAGACATCCACAGAAATACACTGAGCTGAAATCTGGAACCTAGTTGAAGAGAGGGAGGAATGAAGATCGAAGGGGTCTGTACCAGGTTGGAGAAACCCACAGAAACAGTTGGCCTGAAAAAGGGAAAGCATATCGACCCCAGACGCTGTTGGGGAGGCCAGTGTGGGACTAATCCAGCCCCCTGATCATGGATGCCAATGGGGAGGCCTCTGCACTCCAGGGAGCCTCCGGAGGTGGACTGGCATGTGTGGAGGTGGGGGAGGAGGGATTGGGGTGAGGGGAGGGAGAGGGGACTTACATGTGAAACAAGCCTGTTCCCTAACTTTAATTAATAATAATAATAATAAAATTATCTAACAACAAAAAAAAAGAAGTTCAGGATCAGCCACAGCTGCATAATGGGTTTTATGTCAGCTGGGCTACACCACGCACAGCTAACTTAGGTGTTTCTTTTGAATTTCCCAGTCATCACTCAGGGAAACCCAAAACAAAATCTTTGCCTCCCCAGCCACTCCTCTGTGACCCAGTCCCCTCTCAGGGTGAGAGGTTTGAGAGGGGAAATGGAAGCCAGGCATAGGAGTGAAAGAGGAAGGCTGGAGAGATGGCTCAGAGGTTAAGAGCCCTGGCTCTTCCAGAGGTCCTGAGTTCAATTCCCAGCAACCACATGGTGGTTCACAACCATCCATAATGAGATCCAATGCCCTCTTCTAGCCTGCAGGGAGGGATAGATGCAGACATAACACTGTATACATAATAAATAAATAAATTTTAAAAAAGATTGAAAGCCGGGCAGTGGCGATGGTGTATGCCTTTAATCCCAGCACTAGGGAGGCAGAGGCCAGCCTGGTCTACAAAGCTTCACAGAGAAATCCTGTCTCGAAAAAAATAAAAAATAAAAATAAAAGAAAGATTGAAAGAAAGAGGAGACTGAATAAGGGCCCAGCTAGGTGAGTTACGGCTTCTCTGGGGAATATTAGAAGAAGGTCAGAGTATGGGTATCATTGTGGGCAGAACTGCCAACCTAAACCTTAGGATCTCGGAGTCACTGGCTCAAAGAGACACTGTTGCTGAGGTGCGTTGAGAGTTAAGAACCAGTGCGTACCTGGCCCATCAAAGGAGTTGGAGCAGTATGGGCTTTGGCGGCCATGGAAGGAGAGGCGGATGTCAGCCCAACCAGCCTTCACCTCCCGGAAGGTCAGGGGGGCCACACTGCTCCAGTACTTAAAGGCTTGATGGAGGGCTTCCCGGGCTCTGGAGGGTGAGAGGGTGGAGGGAAGATTCAAGATGCGGTACGTCAAGTGCTTCTTTCTCCAGCGGCCTGGTTAAGGGACCAGAAAGTAAGTTAGAAAGAAACACATCGAAGAAAGAGGGTGCTCACTGCCCTCCTGAGCGGGTCACTTAGCCAGTATTGAACACTCCAGGCTGTCCCAACCTCCCACACTCAGAGCCAGGCAGCCTTCTCCTTCCCTTCCCAGGCTCTCAGTCCTCACCCAGAAGCAGGAATTTAAGGGTCTTCTGGTTGAAGGGATCCTCCAGACCGCAACGGGGCTGCCTCATACGGGCCCTTGTGTCATCGTCTATCTGACCTGAAATTGGCAGGTCTGATGCTTCCTGGAAAGCTCTAGAAAGAGAGAGAGAGAGAGGTCCACGAGGGCAGGTGGATCTGGAATGGCTGGAAATTAGAGACAGATTTTTGGCGTCCTGGTGCCTAAAGTAGTGATAAGGAATGACACAATGTCTCTAAGGCTGACAGTCCAGTCGCTAGTGCTCATAACTGGGGCTTTGTCCTCTGCTCTGTAGACATGGTGGCACATTCCAAGTTCATCTCTCCAGTTTCAGAACCTTTTGAGGAAGACTGACCTGAAGTATAGCCTTCCTCCCCTCCTTCCTCACTTTCTGGCTTTCTGATCTAGCCAGTGAGCAATCCCACTCCACCTCCTGGCCTCCCTCCAGAGAGTCTCCCTGCTATGCTGGTATCTGAGGTCCTACCCATTTTAGCCCACTTGGCTCACCTCCCTGCCTGCACCAGGGCAGCTTCGTCCACCTAGGGCCAGTCATATAGGACCATAAAGGAAAAGACTACAACAAAAATTAGCAAACTATAAAGGAACACAGAGTAGAAATAAATAAATAATGAATTAAACACAGCTGGGCAGTGGTGGCACATGCCTTTAGTCCCAGCACTCGGGAGGCAGATCTCTGTGAGTTCAAGACCAGCCTAGTCTACAAAAGCTAGATCCAGGACAGCCTCCAAAGCCACAGAGAAACCCTGCCTTGAAACCTCCCCCCCCAAAAAAAAATGAATTAAACGCCCACAAAAGGTAACAAGTCAACTCAATTAATAGCTCTAGGTGCACAGTACCTCCTGTAGGCTGTGACTATCAGTATTTTAGCTACGAAGCACAGAGCATCCAAAGGAGTGCTCTGGGCCTTGGCAGATCCAATGGCTATGTTTCTCATTTTGTTTGTTTGTCTTTAGAGGCAAGGCCTCACTCTATAGCCTACCCTGGCCTCAGACTCACTTTGTAATCCAAGATGGCCTTAAATTCATGGCAATAGCCTCCTGAGCACAAGAATTAAAGATGTGAGCCACCATGCCTAACAGTTTGGGTTTGTTTTAATTTTTAAGATTTATTTTTATGTTATGTGTAGCAGTGTTTTCCCTGCATGCATGTAAGTATACCACGTGTGTGCACTGTCTACAGAAGTCAGAAAAGAGCATTGGATCCCCTTGAACTAGGTAGTTGTGAGCTGCCATGTGTGTGCTAGGAACCAAACCTGGGTCCTCTGCATGAGCAGCCAGTGAGCCATCTCTCCAAACTCGTTTTGCCTTGTTTTTGAGATACAGTTTGCATGGTGGCTAATCCTGTGATCCCGGCACTTTCAAGGATGAAGCAGGAGGATTTGGAGGTCAAGATCATCCTCACTACATCACAGGTTCAAGACCAGCCTGGGCTACATGAGCCTTGTCTCAAAAAATCAAAACGGGGCTGGAGAGATGACTCAGCTGTTAAGAAAATTTGTTATTTTTGCAGAGCACCCAGGTTCAATTCCTAGCATCTACATGGTGGTTCACAACTATCCTTAAGTCTAGTTACAGGGGATATGATGCCCTCTTCTGACCAGTTTCGGCACCAAGCAAACACAAGGTACACATATACTTATGAACTTATTAAACCTAAAAGTATTTATATCAAAATGAGCCATTGAGATAGTAAAGGGCTTGCTGCCAAGCCTAACTACATAAGTTCAATCCCCAGGACCCACATGGTGGAAGGAGAGAACTGACTCCAAGTTCCCTTCTGATCTCTGAATATGTACCATAGGATGTGTGCACACACACCCACATACTTACAAATAAATAAATGTAATAAGAACCTTTAAAGCAAGCAATCCTAGTTAAACTCAGTGGGTTACAAGAAAATAGAAGAGAGTCTTGTTGGAGGAAGAGATTCAGGAGGAATGGAAGGGAAATGAGAGGGGGCCATGGGGTAAAAATGACCAATGTGCACACACACACACACACACACACACACATGCACACATGAACACGCGTGCACACACGCATACATACATGTGTATATGAAATTATCAAAAATAATTTTAAAATGTAATGACAGGGACTCTAGCTCAGCATGGTGTCTCATACCTATAACTGTAGCATAGTAAATGCCAAGGTAGCAAGATTGCCAGGAGTTCCAGGCCAATCTAAGCTACAGTGTGAGACCCAGCTCAGAAAGTAATAATAAAAATTAAAAATAAAGATAAACCGGTTGGTGGTGCACACCTTTAATCTCAGCACTCGGGAGACTGAGGCGGGCAGATCTCTGTGAATTCAAGGCCAGCCTGATTTATAGAACCAATTCCAGGACAACTGGGGCTACCCAGAGGGACATTGTCTTTAGGGGAAGAATATTTCATTTTTTGTATGTTTCTATATGAGTAAATGTTGTTTATATATCTTTGGGTGTCCAAGGAACTTGGAAGAGGGTATCAGCTCCTTAGGAGCTGGAGTCACAGGAGGCTGTGAGCGTTCTGGTGTTATGCTGGTCCTCTGTAAGTGTAGCAAGTACTCTTAACTGCTGAGCCACCCTTCCAGGATGCCATCTTCTCCACTTCTCCCTTTTTAAGGCAGTGTCTCACTGTATAACCCCAGTTGTCCTGGAACTCTCTATGTAGCCCAGGCTGGCCTCAAATTCACAGAGATCTGCCTGCCTCTGCCTCATGAGTGCTGGGATTCTGGGACTAAAGGCATGGACTATCATACCCGACTAGTCTCCAACTTTTAATGCTTGTCTTTGCTGCCCCGGTACTGAGATCACAACTGTGTGCCACCACGGACCTGACTTGTGGGCTCCTCATCCTGGTTCTCCATCTCACCTCACATTCTGCCATCCTGGGTAATATTGCCCTCCTGCAGATCCCTGCTGTGGATTAGCGTCAAACAGAGGTAGGTCTGGGTGGAGGGAAGAACCTGACACCTCTGACATGACCTAGAGCCTCACCTTAGGGCTTCTGTGATATCTTCTAACCTGAAGTCAACAGCTCCTTCTAGAGGTTTCTGTAGATATCCATACTGCAACAGATAATCCTATAATGGCATGGAGGTTGAAAGAGGGTTAGTCTGGGGCATAACAGAAGCTGAGAATGGTGGCACACACCTTTAATCCCAGCATTCAGGAGACAGAGGCAGGTGGATCTCTGTGAGTTCAAGGCCAGCCTGGTCTACAGAGTGAGTTCCAGACCAGATAGGGCTACATAGTGGCACTCTGTCTTAAACAAACAACATGAATGCGAATGACCTAACAGACCCATCAAGAGAAAAGAGGGCAGATATAGAAGGACTGAAAAGGCGATGACTGAATGCAGGTCCTCAGACGAAAAAGAGCAGGTGGTGGACGATGTAGGTCGGGATACAGAGCAAACAGGGAGAGGCAGGTGGGTTGTAGGGAGAGAGCAAAACCTAGAGAAGACGATAGCACTCCCATGGCCTGAGCCCTCCTTTGCCCAGAGGACTCACCAAGACTGCCTCCTTCTCTGTAGATCCCAGAGCCCGGCCTGAGACTGTCATAGGAAGTAAGAAGCTCAGCCACAGCTGCTGCCACACCATGGTCTCAGCAGACAAGAGCTCCAGAGGTTTGCCTGAGCCCTCTGATCTGAAACTTCTGGGAACCTGGAAGAGCAGGGCTAGCCAGGGGACTCTTACCCCCTCTGTCAGCCTCTGGTCCTCTTTATAAACCTTCAACTGTGGAGAGCAGTGGGAGGTGACTCAGCCTAGAGAGATGTTGCAACTCACCATTAACTCCTGCCCTACCAAAGAGCAGAAGCCAAAAAAGCCCCTAACAGTCCCCGTCGTCCCCCACAACCCCCATCCCTCTGCTGGAGACAAAATGACTTTCTGTACACATCTGGGGTCTGTCTCCTGGAGGGGTGAAAGCCAGAATCTCTAGAAAGAATAAGATAGGACCAGGGCTGCCCCCTAGAGTTGGATATTCCCACTCCTCAGGGATCTGGGGCCAGCAAACCCCTGAGCTTCACATGTCGCCTTTGCTCCTGACAAGGAAAAATCAGTAAGAGTGAAGAGGTAGGGGGCAGTATAGGCAGCAGGAGTTCCAAGTGAAGGGGTCAAAGGTGAGACCTGCTTCTTTGGATTTGTTGTTGTTGCTGTTGCTTGAGACAGCATCTCTCTACATATTGCCCACTGTACTGGAACTCCCCCTATGTAGACCCGGCTGGCCTGGAACTCACAGAGCCACCATGCCCGACTTTGAGGTTTGTTTCTTTGCAACTAAGATCAAATTAGGAGTTTATTTAAAGCCAGAATCCAGCTTTGTGGTCCAGGCTAACTTTGAGCTCTACATCAAGGCTTCTGAAAATTTTCCATTTGTGACTCTTTTTGTTAAAAAAAAAAATTTTTAACCAGATACACTGGTTATAAAATAAGTATTATAGGGATTGGAGACTTGGCTCAGCAGTTAAGAGAGCTTGCTGCTCTTGCAGATAGGACACAAGTTCTGTTCCTGCCACCAATGCCACCTCTGAAAGTACTGAGCACAAATGGCATAACACAAACATATGAATTTTATTTGACTTTTTTTGTTGTTGTTATTGTTACTTTTGTTTTGTTTTCAAGACAGGGTTTCTCAGTGTAGTCCTGGCTGTTCTGGAACTCAGTTTGTAGACCAGGCTGGCCTCTAACTCAGAGATTCACCTCCCTCTGTCTCTTGAGTGCTAGGATTAATGGCGTGTATCACCACACCCAGATCAAACAGCATTTTTTAACGATTTATTTATTTACTATATATACAGTGTTCTGCCTGATTGCCAGAAGAGGACACCAGATCTCATTACAGATGGTTGTGAGCTACCATGTGGGTGCTGGGAATTGAACTCAGGACCTCTGGAAGAGCATCCGGTGCTCTTACCCTCTGAGCCATCTCTCCAGGCCTCAACCAGAAAAATTTTAAAAAAACAAACATTCTACCAACACAATCCAAAGATATACTAACTTGATATGCATTGAAGAATGACAGCAGGAAACTATTAAAAGTCTTTTCCTTAACTCAACTCTTAGGAACAGAGACTTCGAGGATACCTTTAAAACAAACACGATAGACAAGCATCTTAAATCTGAGCAGAGGTGCTTCGGACAGAAGCATCTAGTAGCATCTTCTGGTGTGACAGCCTGCACAGTGAGAAATGTGTGTGTTGTGTGATCAGAACCAAGGATGTAGTGAAGCACACTTTGGAGCCATCATGCATTTGATTTTGACAAAATATTGGGTATGGTATGTTCAGAAACCTATATTGCTAAGTTTTTTCTTCTGTTTTGTTTTTGTTTTTCTGTTGCTAAGTTTTTAATGACTTAGTTGGGTGACTCGGTGTTATAAACTATAGTTTAAGAATCTGCTCCAGGCGATGATAACGCACGCCTTTAATCCCAGCACTTGGGAGGCAGAGGCAGGCGGATCTCTGTGAGTTCGAAGCCAGCCTTGGTCTCCAGAAGGAGTGCCAGGATTGGCTCCAAAGCTACACAGAGAAACCCTGTCTCGAAAAACCAAATAATAATAATAATAATAATAATAATAATAATAATAATAATAATCCCAGCACTCTGGAGGCAGAGGCAGGTGGACCTCTAAGATAGAGGCCATCCTGGTCTACAGAGTGATTTCCAGGACAGCCAGGGCTACACAGAGAAACCCTGTCTTGGGGTGAGGAGAGGAGGGATGCTTATGCAAAGCATTTAATTAACATAGAATCCAGAAGAGGGTACAAAAGCACAAAGAATTACCCACCACTGCCCTCAGAGAGTTCTAAGATAATCTAAGGCAGACTCCAGCACCAGAAAAAGGGGGCCTGGATGCCGGGCAGTGGTGGGTGATATACGTTGTAGGATCACAGCTTGGTGAGGAAGCTGGCTGAGAAGGTTAACTTAAGTTGATCTTTGAAGGCTGGCTAAGAATCAGAGGGGGTAAAGGATTACAGAGAGAGGGACACAGGGGTAACACAGTAGAGATGGAGAGCAGAGAGGGTTTCCATGGCCTAGTAGTTGTGATGTTTGCCTCATACAGCTGAGACCATGTCAGGCTACATGTTTTACCACTGGCTTGATGGTGCCTCCCTCAAACTATTTCCATGCTTTAAGAAGTATGCAGGAGGAGCTGGAGAGATGACTTAGTGGTTAAGAGCATTGACTATTCTTTCAGAGGACTTAGGTTCGATTCCCAGCACCACATGGTGATTTATAACCACCTGTAATTCCGGTTCCAAGGGATTCAACTCCCTCTTCTGGTCCCTGAATACAACACAGCAGGCACCCGACATACATGTAGGCAAAACACTCATACTCATAAAATTAAAGTATAATATAAAATTTGATTTTAAGAAAGAGAGAGGCGGGGCTTGCTGTGTTGCTTAGGCTAACCCTAACCTTCAAGGCTCAAATGATCTGCTGTAGCCTCCAAAGTACTGAGACTACCTAACTGCCACCCCAGCTTTTTTGTTGTTGTTGTTGTTTACCAGGGTATTAATTTTTTTTAATTTAAAATTACATTTAGTTATTTCTGCATGTATGTGTGTAGGAAAGCAGGTGAAGTTCAGAGGACAACTTTCAGGAGTCCATTCTCCCCTTCCACTATGGCTTGCAGGCTTGTGCTTCATATCCGATGTCTCACAGGGCTGGCTAGGAAACGGGGTGCCAGAGAAGGAAGTGTGAGCAAGGCCATGGAGAACCTAACTGGCCTATTATCAAACTCCAGTTCTCTGACACGTGCTCTTCCACACACCACATGAACTCTTGAGTTCTGTTCCAGCCCTTTGTTTTGTTTTCTTAGAGACAAGATCTCACTATGTAGCCCTGGCTGGCCTGGAGCTCTGGGATTATGGGGATGCCCCACCATCCCTGGATAACACTGCATCCCGTGTCTCCCCGTCAGAGAGTCAAACCCTGTATCCCAGGTGACATGTGGGGACACTCAGCACTGTAGCAATGAAGAACAAAGATGCCATTCTTGATGCACAGTGAGAAAGATACAGGGATGGAGGAAAGGTCAAATTTTTGTTCTTGGTGGGTCCTCATTTCTGAGCCATTTCCCATTCTCTGGGACATCACAGGGGAGCCCTCACACCCCAAGATTGAGGCGGGGGAGACTCTTGACTAATTGTCGCCCTCAGTGATGTCAGACCCATGACCCAGCACCCAGATGGGTAAGAATAGGGTGACTAAGTCCTAGTTGTGACAGAAAGGGTATGCAGAGAGCCTCAGAGGATATCATCAGGCTCGGTACACCCAGGAAATGATGGCATGTGGGGAACAGCTAGAACTTAGTCCCCTACAGAGTTCCTTCTCATCCCTCTTCTCTCATGTTACTCACTGTGGCTCTGGAAGGCCTAGGAGGTACGACCACATTCTATTTATCTTTTTTTGAGACAGGCTTTCTCTGTGTATCTTTGACTGTCCTGGATCTCACTGTGTAGAACAGGCTGGCCTCAAACTCAGAAGTCCACTTGCCTCTGCCTCCCTAGTGCTGGGACGAAAGGCATGAAGGCTTTTTGTTATTTGTTTTGTTTGTTGTTTTTTTTTAAGATTTTATTTATTTATTATGCATACAACATTCTGCTTCCATGTATATCTGCACACCAGAAGAGGGTACCAGATCTCATAACGGATGGTTTTGAGCCACCATGTGGTTGCTGGGAATTGAACTCAGGACCTCTGGAAGAGCAGTCGGTGCTCTTAACCTCTGAGCCATCTCTCCAGCCCTTTGTTTTGTTTTTATTACAACCACATTCTAGAAATCAAAGAGCCTGGTGAGAGCAGAGTAGGTAGCAGAAGCTTCCAAACCTTTGCCTGCTTGAAATCTCAGTGTGTTATGTTATACCTCTTTACCGGAAAGTCGTCAAGTCTGTAATGAGCTGCTTCAGGCAACACAGCCAGGAAACATGAGTGTCAGACTCCAGTGGTATCAGAACATTCATCTTCAGTTTCTGGAAGGTTCATGTAAACAAACAAAACCCTGGAAGCAGGAGCTGTAGGCGGGGCCTGTGTGCAAGGGCAGGATGATTAACTCTGCTACCACTCCGAGTCACTACCACCCCTGCCAACAGCCCCCACCTCTGAGCCAGGCTGACCCTGCTTTTTTTTTTTTTTTCCCTTGAATTTGTCATTTCTCTCTGGGGGAGTTTCGGGAATGTGTGCAAAGGGTTAGGGCTTGTGGCAAGACTGTTCTAAAAAGAGAAGTTGGTTTTGAGGGAAGGAACTCCATTGACTTGCTTACTTTCTTCCTGTAAACTGGAGTCTCTATCCACAGACTATAGCAGAAGATATCTGTATAGACTTTTTGTTTGTTTTAGTATAGATTTTTGTTTTGTTTTTTGAGACAGGGCTTTGGAGGCTGTCCTGGAACTCATTCTGTAGACCAGGCTGGCCTCTTGAACTCGCAGAGATCCACCTGCCTCTGCCTCCTGAGTGCTGGGATTAAAGGTGTGCGCCACCAATGCCTGGCTTAGTATAGATGTATTTTTTAACTAAAAACTATCAGAGGGCAATAAGGAGACTTTTGAGAGTATTTTATAGTGGCCAAAGGTCATGGCCTATAGGGAAAAGGCAAAAGTATGTAGTGGTCTCTAGGCCCATGAGAAGCTATTTTCTTAGCCATTACCAACCCCTTCTGCAGTCACTTACCCTGTAGAGGTTGCCAGGGGTTGGGCATCTTAGTATATAAGGGGCAAGTCCAGGTGGGCTAGGTATGTAACTCAGTGGTCACACATTTGCTTGGGTCCGGGGTTCAAGCCCAGC